GAGTACACTCCGAAAGCAGCTGCTACCCTTTTGGCATCTCTGGCCTATGTCCACAATTGGCATGGCTTTGGATTGGGCAAGCTTGCGGCGAGAGGAGACGGACTACACGGAGATACCGCCAATGATGAGCGGCGCCTGTTACGCTTTTTGCAAGCTTACGGGGTAGACACTTCGCATGTTCGGCCAGGATCGTTGAAAGGGTACCTGCGCGGTCGGCCCCTCTTTCTCAGATTGCATGGACAGACAATTCGAGCACCGGTCATGGGCTTTGACGCTGATGCGAATGCTGTGAATAAATCTCCCCCGGCCGACGTGCCAGAGTACGAATTACTCAGCGTACTCCAAAAGCAACGTCGAAATTTGGTTGCCTATCTTCAGGGAATGTGCGAAATGGAACGCGACGTCCTATTGACCATTGTTGTGAAGGAGGCTTTAAGGAAACCTGCCTTGACAGAAACTCGGTGGCATATAGGGGCTGGTTGTGGGGATCAGCAGCCGTTGCCAGGACAGTATCAAGCCCTGGACGAGGAATTGACCATGGATGTACAGGGTGCGGAGGTCTTGTGGAGGAATGACGGACTCCGACCCGTGCCGGATTCTATGTCTCAAATGGGAGACTATGAGGCTTTGTTTGGAAAAGAGGCTCTTCAGTGCGGACTTGTGCTTCGAGAGGAACACCGCCTGTGGGTGCATGTTGTGGGAACCGAATGCGATTTGATCGAATGGGACGAGCCACCCTCCGAGCGCCAGGGGGTAGGGATGCCCGAAGAACCACCGGAAATCTCGAAGGATGAGAACGCTGCAGACGCCGCATCTTTACCAATTTTCTGGGAATGTGGAGCGTGTACAACATGGAACGAAGGCGGAAAAACTTGCAGTGTTTGTCAAACTCCTCGTCCCGGCTTGCCGCCTCCGTCTACCGTGCAGAGAGGGGAAGGTGCTGGCTTTCTTTCTCGGCCTCGGCGCAAGAACACTTCTCTAGCGGGTGGCGTAGGAAGACATTTTGGGTACGGCCGTTTTGCACTAGGGCTACAAGAGGAGGAAGAGGAAGAAGGAGAGATCCCATTGCCCCCCGCTTTGAAATATCGGGGTGTCCTGTATGACCGTGCTTTCGACCCCGAAGCACAGGAGCCTCACCCCCATCCATCCGAGCGATGGATGGTGGAGATACTTTCAGTCCTGTTTGCAGGTGACGATAAGATGCCTGTCCTGTTCCCGCATGATCCTGTGCCGATAAGTGCCACGGAGGCTCGGCTGCTCGGGTGTGCGAAGTACGGAAAGAAATCGGCGACTTGGAAAGAACTAGTCTTTTTGCCAGAGCGGAAAGTACTCCATGTCTACAATTTAGTAAGCCATGGACGGCGTATGTATCGGACTTTGGCCTTCTCGTCTGACTCCCGTGTGGCATTTGATGGATTCTCGCCAAACACGGCAGCACGCAGTAGTGGCGTCCCAGCACACTTGCATCGAGCTGTAGGATCGTCCAAGGCGCTAAGTCCCATAGAGCGTACTTTGTTGATCATTCGAAAGAACATCGCTGTTGGTGGTGTGGAAATGTATTTGCCTCCGCGGCTTTTGCAGGGCTTGTTGCCGAGCGCCCTGCTCGAAGCTTTCCGCTTCTGGGAAGGGGCTGATGGACTTTTTCGAGGCGAACCAGTGGACACTACAGGCATGTTTAATTACGCGGTCGATTTGAAGCTGGTCCCTGATGCGCAGGATGGCTGGCGTGCGATCATTATGCGACGGCCTGAAGGTGTGGGTCACCGGCGAATCCGTGGGAAAGGCGGAAGATTGGCTGACGCCAAATTGTCGACCATGGCACCTGCAGAGAGAGAGCAAGATCCAATGACAAACGTTGTAGGGAAACCGGGTTGTGCAGGACCTCGCTTGAGTGGTATTGGGCAAGGTAATTTGACAGGCGGCAGTAGCGGGAAGCTGTACAAAGTGGACGAGAATTTGGTCAAAGAAATCGCCTCGATGGGCTTTGGTGGTTCCTCAATGGCTCGGCTTGCATTGCGGCGCAACAATATGAATCTCGCATCGGCTGCACAGTGGCTATTGGACGATGCTCATGCAGAAGAAGCAGTCTTGTATGAATCCAAGGTGGAGTCGATGGAGACCGCAGCCCACGGAGTCTCCCGGCTCCTTGTGGAACACGCACTAGAGGCATTTGGAGGGGATCGAGACGTAGCTTTAGCATGGCTGACAGATAAAAGTAATGCTGTAGAATTACAGCGACTGAAAGCCTTGTACAGTGATGATGGAGGGGGGAAGACTTCCGCAGCTGATGTGGACAGAGAAGACATGGATGTCGACATTTCCTCAGTCGCTCTTGGGGATGTACCAAGAGAAGAGAGTGACAAAGACGAGGGGAGGACGACATCTCCTCTCATGACGGAGCCTAATGAGGAGACCGATGAAGAGTATGGTGAGGGTGACTTGGTTTTGTTTGATTTGGTACACGCTCCTCCTACCCGCGCACTGGGTCGCCTGACAACACTTCTGATGCGCATTGAGGACCTCTCTCACATCTTGGTCTGGGGTCGACTACTCGACAAAGATGACGCATATAGAATGACAGATGATATGGTAATTACGTCAGAAGGCTGTAATCGCTCACAGTTAGTGCTGGTAGAAATGCCTCGCCTGAAACTTACTTTCAAACCGCGGCAAGATGAGCACAGCGGTGAGTACCGCTTGTACTTAATGGATCATGCCGGCTGGTTCATCAGCGACCGTTGTGTAGAGGACTTCCCTGATGATGTGGCTGGACGTATGATTTATCCAAGCTCTTGCCCTGGCCATTCGGGAAAGCAACGGCTGAAGTGCCTGCTGGGGGGCTTGGGAGCCAGCCTGATCCTAGAGAACGCTGGAGAGGAGTTGCAGGCACTTGTTGCCAATCACGACGCGTTTCGGCCCATCGTAGGCGGTAAGCCCTGGTCGACTATGCTAGTCTTTGACCGTGCTTCATTGGGATGGCAGCAAGCCATGGAGACTAGGTATTACATGTACCCTATCCACACCAGCCGTGCTTTTTTAAGCCCTCCCACCCTCGCAGCTTCTCTGTACCTAATTTTGCTACGCTTTCTCAACCGGATGTACGCAGAGGCTTTTAAAGCAGCAGAAGGATGCTCAGTAGACGTACCTTTCACAGCAGAAGAAGCCTGGGTGTGGAGTCAATTTGAGCGTACCCTTGACGATGCTCACCCAGACGCCCACGCCGTGCGCCTCAAGTTGTCGCTTGCGGTGCAGTATTCTCGGGCCAGCAACCGTGTGAAATGGGAGCAGCACAAGGAGATGGATCGCTATCTGGCTAAACTTGCCCACGTGTCTGCTGCATGTCGCCTCACACTCGAGGAGGAGCTCGAGGCCTTGCATCTTTGCAAACAAGGTACGCCTCTCATCAAAAATAGGCTCGCTTATCTCAAGGCAGCTGAGGCGGGCAACGTCGACGTCGTCACTCTTAAGACGGAAAGTCCACGTTGGGGGGGGCAGCCGTGGATGAAATTAAATATGCAGACGCTGGATCACCTCACTCAACATGGTACGAAAATCTCTCGAGTGCAGTACCGGCGACCCGTGCCCGAAGGTCAGATTTTGGCCGGTGAAAAGGCGCTAGACTTGCTTTGGTCGGATACATTGCTTATGGACGAAGAGAGTGGCACAAATCGGCAGCTGGGTTTCCTTTTTCTGTACGAGTTGGCACGCGGTACGCTGCCGGTAAAGATTGGAGGGAAAGAAGTGGGTCGGCATCTTGCAGAGATTTTGGCATGTTGTTTTCATCTGAAGGCTTCGCGATGGGGCAGAGAGCAGGTACAGGAGGGAGAAGTGGAAGCCAGTAACTCGACTCATTTGGCTCAACTAGCGGCTGTTCTTGCTTTGCCGCGTGTAGCCTGGCCATCGGTGCCGTTTGATGCGACAAGCCGCTCCCTTTTGGACCGTGGTGTCGGGCTTTTCACGCCTGAAGGGAGAGGTACAAGCGTCAAAGCATGGTTCGATCTCATGGATGTACAATTTACAATGGTGCTGTCCTCAGGGGATGACCAATCCAGGCGCGTGATCGCTCTAAAAGAGGCCATGAACCATATTCGGAAAACTTCAATGGGTCATACAACCACGGTCCGTCTGGATCTTGACGATGTTCGAAGGGCTCGATCGGAGATTGTACGGACCGATAGAAACGGGACCAGTTTTGCAGATACAATGGTAAATATGACAGGGCGTTGTGAACTTCCCCATGCATATGATACCTCCTGCTCAAAACTTCTTATTACCCCTCTTGCCATTGAATGCGGTAATGGCCTCGTCTCATCCTCTCTGCATGCTGTATCGTCCGAGAATCTGGCAATTTTAGGATCTATGCCTTTAAGTTCTATTGCCCTTCATAGATACATAACCATGGAAGACGGAATGGAGCGGATAGCATCCTGCCTGCCCGTGGACGTGACGTCGCACTCAGCAGCTCGAACAGTCGTTGCGCGGGAGATGCTCGCTCGGCTCGAGGACGATATCGTTGGGTATGCGCAGACACTTTCCAAGACATCAGTGCCACGGTTGTCCCAGCTCACAAATAATCGATTGGAGGCGCTAAAAAAAAAAGGGTTCGACCTCATATTAGAAGAGACGGACGTCGAACCGATCAAAGGGAGTATCGAAAATCTGATCCGTGACTTAGGCAACGTCCTAGAGGCTGACCGTGATTTTTCAGAATGGGCACAAAGTGAAGCTGTTCGTTTGGCAAATGGGTTGGTAGTGGCTCCAAGTTCGCCCGCCGTACATAATTCTCACCATCGACAAGCGACATCGGCGTTGCACGTGTTTTGGACACAACGATATGCAGGTCTTCGCCCGGCTATCGACATCACATATCTTATCCAGTGTTTAATGTCCACACGGGCACATGAGGACTTGCTGGCTGTCAATCCTTTCGCTGGAGAGGCAAGCACGCTCACGGCGGCATTAAACCTAACTGCATTGGCACTTTTGCACATAAATCGGGCGGCGCACGCAAGTCGGACAATTATGGCTGCAGGACAAGCATTGAAAGCGGTGAAGGCTCTTGTGCATTCAGCTCGCACTGTGATTTCTGGCGATTTATCTTTCTCTGTATCACTGGCAATGCAGCGTGTGACTCAAGCTACTGACAACTTGGCGGAGCTTCTGACTGCAGGGCGATATTACGGCACTTCAACGGCTGCTGGTTTGGAAGTTGATCCTCGCTTTCTGGTTTTCGAGGCCGTATTTGATCTGATGTTGCGGAAACGGCAGGTCGAGATGGTGACATGGTTTCAAGCATCCTTGGAGCAAGGTGTAAGCAGAGTGCAGCAAATGATTATGGGGGCGGGTAAAACGACTGTTGTGGGACCTCTACTGACGCTTCTTTTGGCAGACGGGCAGCAGCTCGTCACGCAAGTGATGCCTACGGCTCTACTCGAGCAGACTCGGTCTATCATGCGCAGCCGCTTTGGCCAAATCATAACTAAGCGAGTCTACACCTTGGAATTTGAGCGCAGTGTCGACGATGACGTTGAACTAGTTGCTGAAATCTTTGGCAAGCTAGACGCAGCACGTCGTAGGCGCAGCGTCGTTTGCACGTCCCCTGAGGCAATCAAAAGCCTGCTTTTAAAATTTGTGGAACACCTGCATGCTCTGGAGCAGGTCGAGGCGAGCGACCTGACGTTTGGGGAGTCAGCTCGGGCCAATCGTGAGATAGGTCGAGTGCGGGAGGCCTTGCAGTGCAAATCCGACATGGCAGACGCGATAGTACGTGTGCTGGACATGTGGCGTGGTGGTGTGCTGATCATGGACGAGGTGGATCAACTTCTGCATCCACTGCGATCGGAGCTCAATTTCCCCATTGGTGCGAAAGATCCCATTGACATGGCCGGTTACCGATGGGACTTCCCCATTTTTCTTATAGATGGTCTTTTTAGTGCCGCAGAGGGTCACCCTCTATCAGAGCGCCTCAATCCTCAGATGTCAACCCGAATAAATTTCGGTGCTCAAGCAATATTGGACGACTTGAGGGATGCCGTCGCTGAAGGCTATTCGCAACATGCTCTGCAACGAAGTCCGCACATGATTCTGCTTGATAAGGCCTTTTACGAAGCTCGACTGAAGCCAGCATTGGCTAAATGGGCATTGTTATGGATTGCCGAGCGCTTCATGGGAAGAGTTGAGTGTCCGCAGGATGCGCTTTTGGGGTACTTGAAAGGGCAAATTGAAAAGAATCGACAGACCATTAAGAAAGGCTTGCCTCCCGAGTCCAAAAAGCTTCTCAATCTGGGACGCGAATGGGTCTGCACTCTTATGCCGCATTGTCTCTCCAAAGTTGACAGAGTCGGGTACGGTATTTTGAACGCTGCTGATCTCGCGGGACTTAATTCCCGCGCACCTCTGAGCCGGAAGTTAATGGCTGTACCATTCGTGGGAAAAGATGTTCCCAGCGCGTCCTCCGAATTTGCTCACGTTGACGTCGTGATCGGACTGACTGTGATGGCGTATCGGTATGAGGGCTTGCGCTTAACGGATCTTCGCCGTCTGGTCACACAACTGAAGGCGGATTTCTCGCGACAGGGGGGCCCTCGTAATTCCCGACCAGCGTCGCTCCTTTTTAAGTCATGGCTGCTGCAAGTGGTGAATGCGGGGAAATGCTTGAAAGTCCACGAAGAGGGGGACGCAGGCGAGACGGTCGATGCAGACCACAAAGTGGCAGGAGCAGAGGAGGTCCAAGCACCAATGGATACAAGTGATCAAGCGGGCAGGATGGAAGCTCAAATTAGGCACGAGAAAATGCATGTGGGACTTCCCGTCTCGCCCTTGCCCTTGTTTCAACCTGGCGACATGAAGCAGTTGGTCGCCTTGCATGGTCTCGTTCGGCTTCTTCCGGACGTCCTGCACTATTACCTCAGACAGCATGTTTTTCCTGCTACAATGAATTTCCAATCTATCAAACTTTCTGCCGCCGGCCATGAGCTAGGCTCCTCTATCCTTTTTGCCCGTCGAATCGGCTTCTCTGGCACACCGTCAAACCTTCTGCCTATTGATCTTGGCACTTGTCAGTATGAACCAGGCTCCGATGGCAAAGTAGTACATGTCTTGACTGACCCAGCCGTGGTAACAGCTTCGCGGAAATATTATTGGACGGCGCACTCGCTTTTGCGCGACGTTGCACGCGTTAGTCCGGCCTTCCATGCACTGATTGATGTAGGCGCACTCATAACGGGCATGGACAATGAGGAGGTGGCAAGATATTTGCTGGAGCATTTGCCTGCGGAGCGTTTCGACGGTGTCGTCTTTCTTGACCGGCATGATCGGAAGATGATCCTGCAACGTTCATCAGGCCGCTGTCTGGCTTTGGAGCAATGCGGCGTGGATGTTGATCGACGCTTTACATTCTACGACCAGGTTCACACGACAGGAATGGACATTAAACAAGCTCCGGATGCCCGGGCGGTGGTCACGATTGGGAAGGATATGACCTTCCGGGACTATGCGCAGGGGTGTTTCCGCATGCGAGGTATTGGACGCGGGCAAAGCATCCATTTGTATTTGATACCGGAGGTAGAGAACAGACTTAAGCAGGAGCTGGGCAACCATGCCACCGGCAAAGTGGAGTTGGATGTGACAGGATGGCTTTTAGTAAATTCTATGCGGATGGAAGGCCTGCAATTCATCCAAATGAGCGTGCAGGAGCTGTTCAATACTTGGCGGAAGCGTGCGCTTGGGACACTCACCGGTGAGGCTGCAGAGCATGCGTCGTCGGCGCAGAGACAGGAGGTGGAGCGTCGAGTTGTGCGTTTCCAGGGTCACGACGAGGCAGCATTGTGGAAACGTCGCTGCATCCAGCTTTTCCGGGAACCGGTTGGCTACCCTGTGGCAGATGCGGTGCCAGTGCCGCACAGCTTTCATGATAAACTTGAAGCGATGATATCGACAAATTCTGATTTCACGAAAGATCCTTGGGAGATCGGTCGCATCAAAGAGGTTGCTGCCCGCGTACATCAAGTGAATCAAGCTCACATGGAGGACGATAGTACACGCCACTTGACTGCGGAGATTGTGCACGAGAATGAACAAGAAGCCGAGGAAGAGGCAGAGGAAGAAGCGGAAGAAGAAGAACAGAAACTGAGCCAGTTTACGCGCGAAGATGAGGAGCCCAACCAGTGGAGCACCCAATACTTGACGAAGGCACCTTCAAGCACGCTGAAAGCAACAGCGAGGGGTGACGAGCCTTTTTATCGATTAGCTGACTTTCGGGTTCGACCACAGCAGCCCCGGTTGTCTTTTCCAGAACCCCTACTTCTTTCCGACAATTTTTTCCGCCCCCGATGGTGTGGCATTGGAGATCGGAGGCTTAAGAATGTGGGAATTATCATGGAATGGGTTCCTGAGATCGGCAAAGCCCACCTGCCACGTGTCTTGGCTGCTCTAATCCCCAAACTAGTAGCCGAAAAAGGGCTTCACCGAACCATGGCCGCAGCACAGGCATTGGGGCTTGCTCTGTCCAACGCAGACATCATAGGGGAAGATGAACTAGCACCCATGACACCTGAACAGGTCGCGAATGTCCAAGCACAGCCTCGTTATATGGTCGCTTTAGCACTGGCAGAGGCCGAGACAATCCGTTTAATATTGCACACGAACCAATCTGCGCTCTCATGGGCAGGTATTGCCTTGAGGACGGCGGATGGAGCGCTCATTGAGGCGTCGACACGTTTCTTGGCCGCAGAGCGTGCCTTGAAGGACACGAGTGATAAGACGGACATCAACGATGACCATAAGAAAAGGAACAGTCGGCAGTCTGCGACGGATTTAGTGGATACGTGTGTACAGTGCCTGCGGTTTGTCAACAACGATATGTACTTTACGCCGAGGGAGATTGAGTTGTTACAAACCGCGTTCAGATCCTCACCTGTGTCGGATCGCATCCGCTTTTTTGAAGATTGTTTGCGGTTGCGTCGGCGGGAGCGACATTTGTGGGGAGACACACCGTTGGCGCAAGTTTTTACCGAGGAAGGAGAGCGACACTTGCTTCGGGTGCGTACCCTGCTCCAGCAGATGAAGGAAGCGATTCGTCGTGCCATAAAGAAGCGCCGCATCGACCCCATAGCAGCTTTTTCCAGGCATGATACCGACCACGATGGATCCTTGTCATACACAGAATTGCAGCAGGTGGTTAGTAGTATATGCCTGGGATTCTCGGCGGGAGATATTGCAGACGTGGTACGATTCTGTGATCGGAACGCAGACGGGTTGGTGCCTTTCGAAGACTACCTTGAGATGTTTGATTTGACTATGGACATGGTTCCTGAAGAGAGTGTCGATGGCGGTACTCGACGTGCGGAGCGCTGGCAATGCACATCTTGCACTTATGTTAACTTCGCTTCGGACAAAGGATGTTATGTATGTGGATACGGGCGGGATGGACGCTTGTTGGTACCACCGAAGAAATGGATGTGCGATGTTAGTCAGGGTGGGTGTTCATTTTTCAATGATGAAACACAATTTTATTGTGAGCAATGTGATCTTGCGCGGCCGTCCTTGGCGAGCGTCCGCTTTTAAGGATAGCGAGGAAAGCAAAACGAGGGACATTAAATGTATGTAGAAAGAAATGCTCTGTATACAACCGAAATGTGTCTGAACACAATTCTCAAGAATCTGAGGCCCGAAAAACGAACGACGATCGTTATGGAAAGGCTTGAAATATCGATTGCCTTCTCGTCCTCGCTGGCTGCCTGTATGGCTGCCTGTATGTTACATATGTGAACTTGCTTTTCTTCGTAAAGCGCAGCCAAATCCACCATCAAACGCCCCTTTTAGCCCCTCGCCTGGTAGTACCTTCATTCTCAATGGCCGGCCCTCATTTTCTGCGTCCACCACTACCTCAAGGCCAAGCTCCTTACACGCTTTCTCTACCATCCCTTCGTCCTCTCCCCATAAGATGGAGCACGTCAGATACCATATTTCGGCATGACGGTTTGTCTTTGACAGAAGCTCCTCTTCTGCGTGCTTAAGAAGTGAAAACTGAGTCGTCTCCAACTCTTTCAGGAAAACTCCATCCTTTAAACGCCATCGAGCCTCTGGCCGACGGCCTAAAACACCAGCATTCGAACAAGGAACGTCCAGCACAACTATATCGAATCCATTCTGCTCTATAACAGAACCAACAAAACTGTCTGTCTGATTCGCTACATCCTTCTTCGAAAGGCTCGCTCCGTCGCCAACAGTAAGCTGTACCTCCTGTGACAAACCAAACCTCGCAAGATTTTCTGCGATTCGAGCCTTTTTGGCTCCATTTACGTCGTTCATCACCAGAGAGACTCTCCTCCCTTGACCCTGCAGTATGTCCCAGACTGCCAAGCCCTTTCCCCCGGGGGCAGCGCAGACGTCCAGCACCTGCAGCACGGGATCTCGGGATTCCTCTGCCGCGCTGTCTGCCAGAACACGTTTCGCAGCCCCTTGCGCCAGGCGAGCAAGTAGTCCAGCAGGCGTGCCGTTGGTGATGTACCAGCCGTCATTTTGAGTCAAGAGCTGGAGCAATACATCGGAGTGGACAACCCCGAGGGTGTAAGGCAAAGGCAATGGAGCATGTAAGGCCATCGGAAGACTCTCCACTGTTTCCCAGGAGGCTTTCCCACGTTTCAAAGAATCACTTAAGGATGATGCCGCCATCTCGGGCGAAAGATCCACAGCAGAGTGTACCTCAGTGCCCATGCCCTTTTCCTCCTTATCCTCAATCGCCTCCCCGGAGAGCTTGGGTGCCTTAGCCTCTGGGATCCGTGAGCGGGCCATCACGGGTGGGAAGATATTACTGGCCTTCATGATGCTTATAGCATGCGACTTGCCGAATTCCTGCACCAGTGCTTTGACGAGGAAAGGCGGGTAAGACAAGCGCGTGGCCAGGGCCTTTTCGGAATTCCCCTCGGGCAAGGGTAGATGCCGGATGTCACCATCTGCTCCACCATGTACGAATTTCTCCCCTTGGTGTACTCTGGTGTTGTCCGCCTCGCTTGCTTTCTTGTCCAGAGAGGTGGGATCGGGATGGAGCTTGCGGAGCAGAGCATTCGTAAAGGAAGCGAAGGCGATACCTCCGCCATATTCTTTCGCGAGCTCCACAGCATCATTCACGATGGCGTACAGCGGCATTCGAGTGCAGTACCTGG